TTGCGGGGGGTGCTGGGAATCAAACTCAGGATCTCACGCTTGCCAGGCAGGCACTGTGCTGCTGAGCTATAGGCCTGGCCCATGTGTTGTATATATTTAACCACAATAAAACAGGTTACTTTGAGGGTATCATCATTATCAAATTAGATGTCATATGTACCTATAACAAGGCCTATCAAATATTAATTGCTCTCAGTATACTGGCTTTCTTCTCTATACATAATACAGACTGAACACTTCCAGCCAGGCCCTGAGCCCCACTGCACACTTGTCTAGGCCTAGCTGGCACGCTGTCATCTTCTTATGTTACGCTTTCTCAGATGGCACCTTCAAATACCTGACTTGGGGAGATAAAAGTAAAAATAACAGTAGCTTCTCAAGTGCCTACCATGTGTAAGAGGCTATACTAGGTGCTTTATATACATTATTTCATTCACCCCCCCATAACAATTCTTTGATGTTAGTACTGTTATTTTCATCTTATGAAGAAACTAAAGATTGGAGAGATCTTGTTCGAAGTGGAAAAAAATCATTCATATACCGCCCCCCGCAAACATTTCAGCATCTTCAAAATACTTTCAGTGCTTCAGGAAGTTGGAAAGTCTATGATGCTGCTCTTGTTATGAAGCTGTATGCAAGACTTGTAGTGTGCTTAGCTTGTAGAGAGAAAGATTTAAAGAAAGACAAATGGAAACCAGAAATCTGCTTTGGAAACCCATAACCATGTTGGGTACGTGGCTCTCATAGTATTTTTATAATGCACCCATGTGCACGTGCACACACACACACACACACACACACACACACACACACACACACTTTCGTATACATTTGCATTTGACAGTCATTTCAGATCCAGTTATGTAGCCTGAAAAGATCACGTATACCATGATTAGCTCATTTCAAAATCAACCAGGAAAGCATCTCTTTTGTGATACCCAGTTACTTAGCTTCACACATGCTCTGCTGTTCTGATGCACAGAACTTTTAAACATTCTGTTAAGGGTTTGTAATAATTTATCATCTCTCCATTGCAGCACTCTGGGCTAATCAATCATTACTGCTTAAATCTTCTATCTTTCTTTTGAGGGACTCTATGCCCTTTCTTAGATACTGTACTGATCCCGCAAGTTCCTCCAGAACAATCTTGAAGGTTGAAATTTTCTCATTGATCTGCACAATGCATTGGAAATATCCTTGTGTTCCCTGTGGATTGAATTAGGGGACTTCAGTGGTGTCTACTGCAAGCAGACCTGGGTGACAGTAGCTTCATTTCACAGACAGTGACTTAACAAGTGAACCATAGCTGAAGCATCCATTAAGGTCTAGGTCCCCTGGTGCTGGAGAAAATTGTCAATAATAATAAAAGTTGCCAGCATTATTGAGAGGTTACATTGTGTGAGAGGCTGTGCTAAACAGAAGGTACAGTTACTATTTAGCCTTTTCTTCCTTTGTTTGGTGCTCTGATTTCCCATGTTCTAAAATATCCATTGTAGGCACACATCTCCATAAGCATACTTTGTTCTAACCAAAATGAGTTGTCCCTTGTCATGCGATGCCATAGTTTCTCATTTTAATGGATATAAGGGTCATGTGGGAAATATTTCAAAATGTAAGTTCCTGGCACTCACCAGAGATTCACCTTTAGTATGTCTAAATGCATATTCTGAATTGTCAGTACTTTTGATACCTTCAATGTAGGCCCTTTGGGTTGTAATTTGATAATCAGTGATATAAGATATTCAAGGCTATTCTCATTCTATATTGTATTTTCTTCTTTCACTCACCCCTTAACATTTTTAACAGCTTAGCATAATAAAGAATCTTATTTCTATGGTGCTTTTATAGTTTGAAAATCACTTTTACAGACACTCACATATGAAGTATTAGTAGCCATGTAAACTATCAGCAGGTAAGCGGGGAGCCAGTGGACATTACTCTTGTCTTCTTGGTCTGTTCAGTGAGTGGGATGGAGAGCCCTTGAAATTTGATAGCAGAAATCCCTATTCCACCTTCAGGTGAAAAGTTGATGAGTACAAACTGATTACTTTAGCAACTTATTGGCAAAGATGGGCATGTTCTGGCTAATGAGATAAAATCAACAGTACTGAGGAAATTTTTTCTTTTAACTTCCCTTTAACTTTCCAGAATTAAAGAAAAAACAGCTTCTGGAGGTGGATACCTTTGATCCTTCTTTCTTTCTGGAACTTCATAATGAATAGTTATCTTGTATCTTCAAAGCAACAAGCATAAGGATGAAAGCCAAATGCTAAATACTGTGGGACAGGAAGATAAAAAGAGCTGAGGCCACCACAACTAACAACAAACTCTTGCAAAAAACCTCAGCAACTGCACACATCTGAACTTGTTTGTAAGCAAGAAAAGTCTCTGGTATAAATTGAATGTTCTTTGTTACTTTCAACTAAAAGCATTCCAAGGGATGTTGACATTTTATAATTGTTAAATTCTCTGTTTTGTAGAAAACAGCCTTGAAGAGGTAATGTAACAGACTCACGATTTCTCAGCAAGTAAATGGTGGGTCCTGGACTTAAACTTGAACTGATTGACTACAAATTCTGAACAGCCTACTCTGGAGCCTCACTCTACAACGAACGTTTTTAGCAACTACCATGTAACACGAGTGCGAGGGATTCGGGAGATGAGTCTGGATTCTTTATCTCACTTCAGAAGAATTATTGTTCATCTATTTTCTAAATTAGGCTTTCATAAAAGATATAATTTAAAGAGGTTTGGTAATTTAAAAGACAGTCTGAAGTAGAATAGCATCATGTCACACTACTTTCCTCTTATGTGTAAAGCATTATAGGTATAAAGAATACAATACTTGATTTTTTTTCTCCATACATTTGTCTCTGAGTTGTGGACATAAGGCATATCACATACCATGCTATGGTGAAATAAAATAGTTAAACTATAACCTTTTTAATGTATTGGCTGCTTTTTTACTATAGTGTATCCCTGAAAAGTGTTAACAAAGAAAATCTTTATAAAATGATTCCTATTTCCCCCATGGGAATTATGTCATTAAAAGCATTTTGCTTTTAGCCAAAAACTTAGGATCTATTTAATTATAAATATAGCTGATAACAAGGCAAGGAGCAAAGTGTAACATCATGTGAAAGAGTAAAATGATGCTCCAAGTCCTATAAAGTGGGAATAAATATATTGAACATATTATAGCACATTTGGTCTTATTAATATAATCAAAGTAGTGATACAACATATAAAAATCTACACTGTAAATCAAATTTAAGCCATATGCACATTAATAAACCAAAACCATGGAAGGAATGATAATTTTATTTGCTTCTTTTCAAACTTAGATTTTCACAGGATATTTTTAGATGCTTACTTCTCTTAAACATGTGAAATATCTAAGGGAATTAGTGTTCATGTACCTTCTTGTTTTAGAAGGATTATTGTAGCAAGCAGTATTCCAGATAGTCCATTACTTGAAATGCCAGCGAAAAACGATGACTCTGTTCAGAGATACACAACAATAAGTGTGTAGGGTACTTTTCATATCGAAAAAACTTTTAATGTGAAAGTCCGCTGTTAGTTTTTGTTCATTCAAAGCTCCTCATGAAGACTTCTGCTTTTGTGCATGAGGATAACTGATTTAGCAATCATAAACTAGAAAACTGGAAATTACTGAAAATGGTGGGTTTCAGGCATTGAACAACAAATAGCATAAGACTGTGATCCATGAGAGAGGGAAATTAATGAATTGAGCCTTATAACTTTCCCAGATTATTGTCTAGAAGCAATTTCCAGGATGTACTATAGAAAGAGTAAAGCCAAATAGAGCATGGCGACCATGCCCATCATAAGGGTTTGGAGTGGGAGAGGTAGTTCTGCTGATCTGGTGAGTAGCCAGTCCCCTTGTCTTTGGCTGAACACCTCCTAAAATTAAGGCCCTAAGTGACCTGTTTCTCCACTGGCTGAAGTAGACAGATCCATTAGTTGATGACTCAGCAGAGTCTTCAGAAGAGTCACACTTTAATACTAGCAGGGTTAAATTAGTTTCACAATAAAGATTGCTCTGAACCTGATACAACAAACTTTAAAGTAATCCTTGTGGATTAAACTGACCTGAAAGTTACTTAACAGCACATTACAATAAAATCCAACATTCTTTAAGGAAACATAGCAAAATCCAGCTCCCAAAATATAAACTCACAATCTCTAGTATCTAACAAAAAGTGATCAGGCACTCAGATCAGAAGAAAAGTCTTTAAAAGTCTTTTTATCTTTTAGAAAAGCTATTATAAACCTTACAGAGGAAATACAAAGTATAAATACTTTCAAGAGCAAAATAAAAGATAGATGATAGGAAACAGGAAGGTAGACCTTTCACAGATGGGAAGGGGGCCGAGGGACGGAGGTAGAAAGAAGCGAGGGGAGGGGAACGGGAAGTAAAAAGGAATAAGATTTGATATGCACCTGCAACAGCTCCCCACAACAAATGTATTCATTATGTACTACAAACACGTACTAATAAAAAAGCTTCAAAAATAAAAATAAAACTTTTAAAAAGATTTGACTGTTTAAAAACAAAAGTAATGACAACATATTGTGGGTCTTATAACATATAGAATTAAAATGTATGACAATCACAGCAAAAAGGCTAAGGACTGGGGATTAGAAATGTACTAATAAAAGGGACTTATCATTGTGCATGAAGTCATGTTATTTAAAGGTAGATTGTAAGATGTAGCTAAGAAAATATAGGCAGAGCTATAATGAAAATATTACAAAAATACTCAAATAGCCTGAAGCCCTTTATGGACATTGTGTGGACAGCTTGCCTTCTTCTGTTTTAGAGAGCCGTGAAAACTTTAGCACAAGCCTTAAAAAAATCTCACAAGCCCCTCTAAAAGTGTTGACATCAGGGGTCCAAAAATCCGTTGTCTCTCTGAGTACAGAAAATCATGGACACTCCCGCCCCACACCCTGCCTTATCTGGAGAATGAATTTTGAATGTGTCTCACAGATATATGCACACCTCTCAAGACATGTAAACGCTACCATGGTGCAAATCTAATTTAAGGTGACATTATGTTTTTAAAAAAACAATCAGTTTTTATGAGTAACAATTACCTGCTACTAAGTGAGAGTTATTAAAAAGGGTTCCTCAATCCTTTTTCTACTTTCTTTAGTCCTATGGGTTCAAGTCAGCATTAAGATACGTTTCACTACTCCAGTGACACTTCGTAGTCACCTGTCAGGTGTGTTCCATTATTATAAAATATATTTCTACATGCTACAGACCCAACAAAAATTTATAGACATATTGTTTCATACAGTTGCTTTTTGCTTTTTCCTCTAAGCCCAAGGAATTTTTTCCTTTATTTACTTTACAAATTTATATTTTAGTTTTGATTCTCAATTTTGAGGGGGCTAGAAGCCCCAGTGTGATAAACTAAGGGGCTTGTCTTTAAGGTTTGAGACTCTCTCTTATAAGAAATAAGCAATTACTGATGGTTTCTCAGAGGTGTGACAAGACAATAATCATCTCACTAGTTTTCCATTTGGTGAAAGTGAGGCAGGAAAAAGGCAAGGGGTTTATTCTGAGGCTCATTATATCAAATAATTTTAAGTCACTCATTCAACTGTCAGTGTGACCGCTGCAAGTTATCCATGTATTTGGATTATTAAAGGGACCATACCATATATTTTACAACGATAATCTGAATTTATGCTTGATAGCACATCATCTGTTGATAGACTCTTATTTTATCTTTATCATATAGACATACATGCAAGATTAATTGCATGTGATATGTGATCAGTATTCTTTTTATATTGAATTTCTCCATTTCCTTTAACTTGATTCTGGTGAGGCTTTTAATAATTTCACCTGTCTTTCCTCTCTAAATTCAGCACTATCCCTTTCCCTTCACATAACAACTGATTTATCCTGGGCACATGACCCAGTATGGGTCAATCATTTTCCTTTTTGGGGAATAACATGGATGTTATGTGAAGGGCTTTTTTTAGGGGGGATCAAGAACACTAAGAGCTAAGTCTGACAAGAGCTTCCAGGGGCTATCTTGTCTCTCTATTAAGAGTTGAAATGGTAATAGAAAAAGAGGCAAGTAGAGCTGAGGAATACAGAGTCCTACCAGTGGTAATTAATGTACTGTTTAATATATATTGAATTCTTACTATATATTTAGTACTGTTGTTAGCCTTGGGAGTGTGGTAGTGAAAAAGCTCTCACAATAGTTACATTCTAGGAAATTCTTGAGTCCCATCATAGGGCAAAATCTGGAGCTGCATTCCACTATTTTACATTTTTTAGTTACATGAGCCAATTATCTTCCTTTTCCAACTTAATTTAGTGTATCATAGATGTCTGTCCTTTGAAAGAGTTCAAGCACATTCTCTACTAATTCTAGTTTAAGAAAACTAAGAGGATGATAGAAAATGACGATCCTGTTTAGGACTGAAGCTTGGAATTACCAGGCTCACTCTTTCTGGTGTAAAAACCTATCAGTCTGTCAAGGCCAGTGCTTCTCCAAGTGTGGCTCAGTTACCCTCTGGATACCCAGAGACCCTTTCAGGGAGTCCTCAAGGGTGAAACTGTTTTCATCGTAATAATAACACATCATTTTCCTTTTGCACACATGTTCTATCTAGAATGTAGGGTTTTTCCAGAGCCCACATGAGCTCTGCTAAAGTAGATATCAGAAAGCCTTGTAGTGCAGCTCTTCTCATCAAAGTTGTTTTAATTTTGGGAAGTATAGCTGATTTTCATTAAAATAGGTAATCTGTGCTAGTATGTTATATAACAGATTTGTCATTATTTGTAAATAAATAAATATTTTTAAAAGATTCAGTTTAATGCACATATGATAAAAATCAATAGTTATAACTCGTATGAATTAAACTCTCTGGGGTCCTCAGTTTTTAATATTGTACGTGAGTCCTGAGGTGACAGTGTTTGAGAACTGCTGACTGGGCACTTGGTGGGGGCTGGGGTGGTGTCAGAGGTCGTATTCTGTGGTAAAACTGAGAAGTTAGGAAGATACAAATTAAGCAAATGTCAGATTATGGAAGGCATGAGCACAGTATAAGTTCATGTGGAGAAATGTCTTTCTCTGATCCTTCTAAATGAAAAGTTCCTACTTCAAACTCAACTGGCATAAAACAAACCAGTAACTGCCTTACAGTGAGTGGCACAGACCAAGTTGTGTTATAAGTAGCCATCCCTAACGAGGCCTGAGATAACACAGACGATGCTGTTAAACTTTCCTAAAGGCAGCCACTCTTTCTGCCAATCTGAGTAAAAGAGCAAGTACCTGGTCAACAAGATAATGAAAAGACGAAAGTTCGGCTCTCTTCTGCATCTGTGGGTGTATTGTGTCGACATGAGGGATGAGCCAAGTCAGTGATCAACAACCATTATTTTGTGCCAAATTGACTTCTCAGTACCCAGGGCCCCTAATTTGACACTTACTGAGGAGAACCACTGGATCCAATAAGGAAACAGATATTATAGCTTTTTTTTTTTTTTTACAAAAAGCCCAATAATTGACAGGATTCTCTCACTTTAATTTTTAGACTGTAGTCAATGCATTCTCTCTTAGAAAGATAAGATCAC